ACACTCGTAAATCAAAATCATTACTTTTATAATATTTATTATAACCAAAATGATATTTATTAAAAGCGTTTTTTTCAAATGTAAAACAAAAAAAGGAAGCAACATGTACCATGGTTACATTAGCGTTCGATAAAAAATAATTGTATTATTAAAATTGTTTATGGTATTTAACTAAAAAATTCCATTCGCCATAGTGATTCAACCACTTCGAATTTTCAAATTTTCAATCCGCCATAACTATGAGGTCAGTTTTCTAATGCAAACATTTAGAATATAAATTCGTAAAAATATATTTCATAATGTCTAAAAAGGAGAGTATAATGGAGCAGCGCGCGCGGAGCGCGCGCAGGGAATGTGCTAGTCAATTCATAAATAATTGATCGCCAAAGAATTATCTAATAAATCGATTAATTTGCGAAAAAAGAATCGATTCTCGAATAATCGAATCAGAATCTCACATCACTAGCATGTGCCCAGTACACCCGCGCCCGCACTTGGCTATTTCTCGTCTCCAGTTGAGAATAGACCCTTACGTTACATGGGTACGGAGCGCCTGTTGCGCATCATCATTGTTTTATCGGCATAACGAAAATAGCGGAATTAAGTGTCCAGAATGTTACACCTTGCTTTCGGCCTCCGAAAAGAGTAAATATCTCGGCATGTTACGACATTACATCCACTTAGGATTTCCTGAACGGTTTGAAAATTGTGACGCATGCTCTGTGTCGCTACCGTGCATCACGTGTCGAATTGTCGCGATTGCCCGGAAATATTAGAAAGGTTCCTCTCATATTTAGGTAGGACAGATGATACACCCTGGACCTCCACAGAATCCACTATCATCACTGTATCGAGCGCACAACTCTAACTAATAACAAATAAATTGGACAAGTTTAATTAGCCACTCCACTACTTCAAATTCTACCTTCATACTCCGTAGTAGTCTCGGGTTAATTCGAATCTTGGTTACCCGCCGAAAGAACCCCGGGACATAACACTAGCTAGCAATCTAGCAAGAAAACAAGCATTGTGTGCCGCCGGCTTAATACGTATAGCCGTGCATAAAGTTTCCCCGCAATTGCATGCTTTCAAATGTTCCGGATTGTAATTGTATTTGTGAATACAAGACATATCTATTTCTATTTGTTTCTATTTGTGAACGTCATCAGGTATAAGATCTGTATAAAAGATATAAACTAAATTCCCCCTCTCATCGGGCTGTGTGACTCAGTGGCGAGATGGTTGCTTACTAATACGGACAACTCGGAGAGACTTCGGATCAAATCCCGGCGGATCGCCTGACGTTTTTTCTCGACCGAACTCTTACAGCATCGAAAGTAGAGGATCTCAACCATCAACAACTTCCCTCAGTCAAGAAAA